CTGCTACTGTTACTTACTAATGCTACTCGAGTACTATGAGTTCTTCTATTTTTATCAATACCACTAATAGAACCACTAATGCAGTTGAAAATAATAAAACAAGTAACAAAATAAAGAATTACAGAAAGAAAAATAAGAACATAACATTACAGTTCCTCCAATTTGCAAACTACCAACACCACTGCTTCCTCTAGTAATACTGTTGTTACAGCTAATGTTAGTAATGTTATATAAAAGTTTTCACAATATTTAACAAATCAAAAAACAGATTTCTACACCACAATGTTAATTTTAATATCCCTACTGCTGCTACCTCAGACAATATTGCCACTAGCGCTACAACTTCCACAACAAGTTCCCATCCCACTGCAGCTACAAGTACAAGTGATGCACGGTGGCATTATCATCATCAATAAAAGGCTTCAGAATAAAACATTGACATCAGTCTAAACATGAACATTGACAAGAAAGTAATGAACATTTACAGTTTGGCTTGAAAATGTTATATGCCAATGAATATGGCATATTTTCCATTGATCTTTACCTGCCAGTGGACCATCACGGTAAGAGCAGACAAAATAATATGTTAATTCCACTACAGGAGAGGCCTGATGTTCTCTGCAATTAGGTGAAAAAATGTGCATATATCAGTATCAGCCTAAATGAGCTGGAAAATATGTCGCCAATCACGACAATTTGTCCCACCTAGTCCATCAATTTCCACTTCTACTACTGTAATACTACTAATATTATTCTTACTTCCAATAGAACCCTTACTACTACTACTACTACTAATGCTACTATTATTCATAGTGGTAGCGATATGCCAAGTAAAATGACTTCGAATACTTTTTACTCTACTCCATCTACTGCTGCAGTCATCAAGGCTGAGTTTGCCATTAATCAAATAAGCAAAGTTGATTTGGTCATTAAAGCAGGCAACTGTCCCGGGGCCCGACACCATCAGGGGCCCTAAAAGCCTCGGGTTCATTGTGAGTCATTTAGTGGTAATAAACAGAAATTAGACCTTGCATTATGTTGTTAACTATTAGCACAGCAACTACTACCAGCACAATGACTGTTCCCACTGGTTCATTTACTTCATTTTAGGATGGGGGAAGTAAAAGAAAAGAGTTTGACCCTCCCTCATTATCACCACTGTGGAGCATCAAGACTCTCTGCGTAACTGTCTGAGTGCAGCAGATGAAAAACAAAGAACTGCTGTGTGCAAAATGTCACAGGATAAATTAATGTTTAAAAAAAAGCAACATGGTGTTCCTATTCAGGAGAACTGCACTGACACTTTGAAATGTGTCAGTTTAAAATGTTTAAAATTGTTCATATTCAAAATCGTTTTGCTTCTGCAGACCTCTTTTGTATCTGCAATGCATTTTTCTTTTTATTTTGTTCCAATACTTTCTAAGCAGAAATAACTGTGCCACGGTCCTTGAACTGCTCATCTGCAACCTGCCGTTTCATTTGCAAAATTAACCAAATCTAAGCTTAAAAGTATGATATTTAATAAAAATCTGGTTATTGTACGTTTCTCAGTGAAAATTTTCCAATATTAAACTGGAGCTGAGGTGCAGGACTTTATGTTGCAGTGAGAAATGAATCCACGGTGAGTAAAAATGTGGCGGTAGCATACAACGCCCAGAAACTGCTTTCATACCATTAAAACGGGAGAGTTACATAACAGTTGTCACAAATGGGAAAACTAGCTAAAAAAGACCAAAACCATTTTTTTAACTAGGCTGTAATCATGTTTATTTCTGCTGTAATGTTGGACATTTTAACATGGAAGCCTATGGGACTGACTCACTTTTGGAGTCAGCCTCTAGTGGCCATTTGCGTAGCTGCAGTTTGTGGCATTTTAGTTTGGATTCGTTTTTTAGCATCAAAGGTTGACGCTTAGTGTAAACAAGGTTGGTCAAGCAGTTCTAAGTTTGAATTTAAGGGATCTTAAATTGTACTTGTAGACTCTGTTACTACTACAACTGCTGATTGTCATTTTTTTCCTGGACTGAAACAACAGAAAAATGGGTACCATCTTGGTGTCTTGCAAGCCAAGACATTTCAGCAACAACATTTGTTGTTATTAACAATTCGGTTTGCCAAGAAGACTATCAGCTTTCCTAATTTACCATTGCTTTCGTGACTAAGTTCGCTCATTTGAAGGCAGATTTTTCAGAAATTCATCCTTACGGAATGACACATAAGTGCCCTGGGTGTATAAATACAGTGTCATATTAACAGTAGCACAAACAGACAAATTCCTTTGGTTTGCTCCTGGGTGTGTTCGTCTGCCATTCTGGGTAGAGTGTCTGTCCCAGGGGGGGGAAACAGACAGATAGGGCACATCCTGTGGAGCGCTGGGACGGAGCTGGAGGAGTTCTGGATGGGCGGAGTGGTGGAGAGGCGGAGCAGGCAGGGAGCTACAGATGTGAGCCCAGAGATAAGAGGCAGCGCTTTCGTAACAGGATAATGGCTTCCTGTTTGAATGCTCCACAAATTGTTTGTCAGGTTACAGCAGCTTTGAACAGAGACGTGTTTATCAGAGAATCAGGCTGAGGGAGAATGCGAAAAACAAGAACAACAAAGAGTCCTTGTGCTGTTTACTGGGATAATGATTTAGCTACAGCGGCGGTGACAGCACCAACGGATCTGACCGGAAGGAGAAACATTAAACAGGAACTTGTCTGGAATCTGAAGAGAACTCTGAACTGCCGGCCCGCTGTTGTGCAGCCCCTTCACTGTCACAGGCACAGAGAATATCAACATTTCCACTTATGATTGTGGCTTTCAAAAGACCACAAACTATTCCAAAAACACACAAGACAAGACAACGTCAGATGGGGAAGATTACTGCAGCCTTTGTGTACTCATTTACACATCACACCAACGGTTCTTTCAAGTTCGAATCTATTTTTTAAAGAGCTGACTTCAAAACACAATTTGCACCTTTGAAGAGGAGACATTTGGAAGCAAATGCCTTACTTGTTGGGCTTCGCTTTGAAGACTGAGCTGTCAGACAAAACTTAACATGCTAGAAAACAAATTGTGAGTCTTGTCTGGTGTTTTCGGTGTATTCCGGCAGCACAGCATCCTCACAGTTAAGAGTGGGGACGTAGTTGGAGGACAGAAAGTGCAGAAGACAGAAGGACAAAACAAAACAATGAGGGAGACCTGGGGTAAAGAAACTTCCAGCTCTGACAGCTATTGTGATTCAGGATCATCCGCCTTTTCTATCTGCAGCATCTCTTCTATTGCCTGCAGGCTGAAGATGTTAAGGAACAGCTGTCTTCTGCAGATGGCTCATCCAAAGAGAGAAATAAGAAATGTCTCTCTATACTGCGCAGAGACAGAGATCTCAGGTGGTCAGCTCTGCACATTGTAAAAAGCAACACATAATGGAAGTGTAATGTGTCGGAGGAAACTGAGGCCTCAGCTGGATCTCCACCTGAATGCACGACAGCGTAAGTGTGCTTTACGACTGAAAGATATGATTTATCAGGTAAAAAAGAGGCTCTGAAATATGGTCACAGTGTAGACTCTAGCCAGAGCTAGCCCACAACTTCGACCCAGACTTCCCTTTTTTTTTTTTTAGATTAACCTGCTGCAGTGTGACCTCGCTCCACCTCTGCTACAGCTTATAGCACTCAGCTCACAGCAGTCCAGTCCAAGTTTATCACTTCTGAGGGATTGAGGCAGATTTGTCAGAGACAGCCTTTGGCTCCACTGCCCCGAAGTGGAGCTTGGGGTGAATACCAGATATCATCAGCCTGTTTAGCTAACCGTCCCGGAGCTCGGTGGGTCTCAGTCTGACCCCCTTGTTCCATATTCATGTGACATTCTGTGCTGGTTGCCTGCCAGGGCTTTGTGCATCAACTCCCACAGCCTTGATCCTATTCTGTGAATTTAAAGCAGCGCAGACGTGAACTACAACAAGGGGATGCAGTACTGTATGTACAATATCCGACGTCTACAAACTCGGGTTCTTTGTAGGTATGTCACAGGGTCTCCAGTAGTAAATGAATATTTTTACATTCATGTGCAGACAGGACTCGTAATTAGAAAGAGTACCATTATGCAAGCACACAGTGGAAAAATATCAAGCAGCAAGCTCTGCAGCTGAGAAAGACGCCACTGCAGAAGAACTGTAAAAACTGTAGTTCCTCAGATGGCCACTGGAGGCTGGCTGCAAAAGTAAATAAATCCCCATAGACCTCTATGTTTAAATGCCCAACTTCACAGCAAAAAAATTACCATGTTTACAGCCTGGGGTAAAAAAACTGTTTCGGTCTCTATAGCTAGTTTACCCGTTTATGACAATAGTGCAGGGGGTGATTTTTTTTTTTTTATCTAACTCACCTGTTTAAATCTTAATGAGGGTAAAAGTTGTGCCTAATTAGGTGCATGACCGCTTTGAGTGGCAGGTGGATGCCGTCATAGGACAGTCCATTGCCCACCTCCACTCACGCTTCAACTCTTTGCCAAGTTTTGGATTAACCGGGATTTAGGAGGAATCAGGCACTGCCAAGATGGTGACAGCTGGAGTCACCACAGTGACCGTCAAAACTGCTTTTAGGGAAACCTAGAGCTGGCATCACAGACGGTTTGCCCATTTTTACATACAGTCAATGGGACATAATCATTGGCAAGCTACAATTCTGAAGTTAAAGGTAACCCAATGGCATATTTCCCTACCTAATCAATAAACTACATTTCCATGATGTATAAATGGCTGTCTCTTGAAAAATTAAACATTTTTTCCAACTAATTCCGGCATCAGAATATTATGCCTGCCTCAAGTGGCCATTCGAGGAAGTGCATTTTTTTTTCTATATTTGTTTCACGAGAAGCTAAAGGTTTCAGGTAACGAGCAAAAGCATGAACTTCTATTTTCTCTTTGCATATAAAGTGTCCACAGGCATGCAGGTCCTCCGTATTCACACCCGGGCCCCCACTGTTAATGCCTTGGCCCCCCCAGGTCTACTCACTCAGCAGCTGGCAGCGCAGGACCTGCAGGCTTGTCTTCATGGTATCATGTGGTCCGGCTCCTCCTCCACAGTGCTCATGGTTCTCTAGTAGTGACAAGAAAAAGAAAGAGGAGTAGGATGAAACTCAAGATATCAAAATTACATTCAAGTCATGGTCAAGCATCAGTGTGATATACCGTGATTATGTCTGGGCAGGTTTTAGTAGAATAGACACGGAAAAGCATGAAGGGATCGCAGAAAAGATTGCCCAGCTTAACCTTGACAGTTTAATCCTCGTAATGACTGCCACACAGCAGCTACACCTCTCGCAGCAGACACATAACTAACAATTCCCGACGAAAGACAAGGGAAGGACTGCGGCGGTGGTCAGCCTCAACGGTTCGGCTTCAAATCAGCATTGGCATCCTGCAGGCTGTGCTGGTCAGTAAAACCAATTACGGAGCATTAAACATTGACCAGTAAGCCTTGTTCTGAGACAGCCACTGTGTGTGTGTCAGCGAGACAAGTACCCGAGGGTGCTCTTTAGGAGAATGACTCACTGATGGCCTTCTGTTAAATAAAAGGCCATACACACCACATCTCCTTTCACCCCCGGAACGAGTGCGTGCATGAATGCGCCTCCCTTTGTGGAAATGCCCCTGGCCGACACACTTGCCCACACCGTTCACCCACACAATCTACATAAACACATACATCCAAAGAAGTGTTTTGAGGATATACAGACACACACACACACACACACACACACACACACACACACACGCACACACACCTAAGGACCCTTCACTCTACCTGCGTGAATAATCTGCTGTGAATGTGGCATGTGAAATTGGATTTGCGCCCCCCAGGACGAGGGCTCTGGTTGCAGGCAACCGGCGTTTCTGCAGGAGACGTGTGAGGCGAGAGCGACGGACAACAAAAGCACAGGGTACTGATCCTTTCATAAGGCTTTATTTCTCATAAATGCAGCCCCGCTCGGGGGACTGAGAGGAGGCAACGCACTGCATCTGAGTCATCCTGTTTATATTGCTGCCATTGTGGCAACCTTTTAATGTCTGTATAATATGTGGAGCTATAAATCTGAATCCGAGGCCATTTAATGAATTTTGAAAGTATTGTCAACTGAAAAGGGATGGAAGTAACCGAGGATGTACAAACATGAGGGAACAACGGTAAATAAGTAACATAGGTGTTATCAAATGTAATGAAAGGTCTGCAGTCATATACAGTGAGGTTAGGTTATCCATTCAGCTACAGCATTGAATGTTCATCAAACTGTTGCTGGCCTCAACTAAATAAGTTACTTATAAAACATGATGTAATAGAGCTCAACTAATAATGGATGTTTTGGGGCTGACATCGAGTTTAGGTAGTACAATAAAGTAAGTAAGATGTTTAAGTATATGTGAGAGTTATACTGAAAAAAGAAAATGATGGAGTCATTAATTAAGAACTTTCCAACAATGCATTTCACAAACTCGTTAGTAAATTACTATAAAGGCACAGCTTGACTCCGCACCACCATGTACTCTGCTACATGTGCTGCAGACAGTACTGAGAGTATCCTAAAACAAAGGACCAACTATGTGACAGCACAGTTTCTAAATTACCTCAAGCATCTTTTTCTGTTATATGTTCTGTAAAAGAAAAAGTTTTCATGTTGGTATAAATCGGTCAATATATGCACCGATACAATATATCTTTGTCAGGCCAATATTGAGGAATACCAGCTAACTAATATATTGGTGAGGCTCTAATATAATATATCTAATCTAATATATAATATGAAACATATAATAAAGTGTAATGTTAAATAATCAAGATAGTATCCTGATTTTGTTATGGGACCAGCAGGAGAATGAAGGTACATTGGCAGCTGTAGAACTTCACAGGTACAAGTGAGACACAAATATGGCAGAAAATTTGAATGAACTTCTGACTCTCTTATTAAAAGTAGTAATAAAGAATAAAGCTAGAAATGGGGCGACCTGATGGCCGAGCGGCGACAGCACATCATCACATTTGCCAATGATGGGGAAAAATGACAAATATCAGCCCCACTAATTGGCCAGTCTGACGATCGGTCGAGTTCTATCAAATACGTGCAAATGCAAATAAGCTTGAGTCGCCAGGAGTGCACAGACAGGTGAGAACTCATTTTGCATTGCAGACTGCAACAAATGCATCAATAAGATGGTCAAAGCTGACGATGCTATATTAGGCAGTATGTCCACATTGTATGCATGCAACAGTAAGTACGTTTTGTAAGAGTATATGATTTGGTAGCAGCCCAGTTTTTTGGCAAAAAAGCTGAAAAAAAAAAAACAAGAAGAAGAAGAAGCAAACAAAACTTGGGCCATCTATGAGTTAAAAATGGAGAGAAGTCGTCAGGAATCGCTCTGGAAATCAGGAAAGTGGTATTTAATCATAACGTCAGCTGATATTGGTCATGTTTCACGCTGTCCGGAGGCGAAGACAGCAAAAGAAGTGAAAACATCTGATCAGTTATCCGCTAAGTCAGAACTTATTTGGTTTGTTCCCACTTCCCATTGTTGGAATTTTGTTGTTTTAGTTTTTTTGGAAAAAGTCAAAAGCCACCTCCAGTAAGTCAAAGAATTTTTACTTCGCCGCAAAATTGGGAATATTGTTTTCAAAATGTGTCCATTCCGAATAACCTTTTCTAATCCAATTCTAAAAAAAATGCATAAATATACGTTACAGAAGTGTGGCTCATGTGCACATATACTAATGTAGTAATTACTGCATTGTTACATAAGTGCTCACAAGTGGGACCACATTCATCTTTAAATTCGGTTTTCATTTTGCCCTCACCTTCACACCTGTAAAGTTTCTGGACTTCATCTAGCACAGTTGCAACGCTATTGTGTTATTAACATATACATTTTGGTCACGATGACAAACACACACAGACTCACAAGCTGATAAACATACCAGCGTCACACTCCGCTGGTCATAAAATGAGCAACCAAAGAGTCCATCAAGACACACTTTTAGATGACATATGCACACAATTGTGCTTCATTTCCATGAGTTTAGAAAATTGGTTTCACCACTCCTAACACAGTTTTGACTATAATTGTGTAGGCTCGGTTGTAATACGGTGCGCATAATTGCAAAGAAGATGAGGCCGCAAGAATACAGTAGTAGCAGAAAATGAGTTTTTCCAGCTTCACATCTGAAGAAATGATAGCAGCTACTCAAACCCATCCTCACGTCTACTCATAGCGCCACTCCGATGCTGCAGTGAGAGCTCCTCACCACTGTGGCTTCACTCCATCCCCTGGGCTTCAGTATTTTTTTTTTTCCCCTTTTGGTATCACGTTCCTGGCCTAATGAGCTCAATGGCAGGGTGCAAAGACAGCAGCTGAACCTCTCTACGGTGATTACGCCTCATCAGTGCTGCCAGACCAGCGCAGGCTCATAGACACGCTCCTTAATTTGCAGGGCGCGAAAAGGGGTGAGGCTATGGGTATGTGGACGAGTGGGGGGGAGGAAAAGATAGCGACAACCCCGGGAGTGTTTCATGTATTGTTGTTATCATAGAGCTGGAAAGGTTTTTGTTGAAACACTATTGAGCTCTTCAGGCCTCCTGCCGAGGAGCTGAATTATAGTTCAGCTCTGTGCACACATGCAGGTAAAAGATAATGCAGCATGACAGTCGGGGTCGCAGCGCTGCCTAAGAAAACCCTCCAGACAGGCTGAGGAGGACATTGGCAGCTGTTGACAGTTTTGTCGCTTTAGTGCTTAACAACACAGAAACTTGGATTCAATTCCAGCACATTGGACTTGCTCGCAGGTGGGAAGCCGGTGAGGGATTCCTGCTGGGTAGATGGTGGCCCGACATGTGGGCGGAATAAATGTTATTCCTACAAAATGCTGCTTCCACCTTCACAACAACACAAGCAATGCTCTGGCAAAGAAATTAACAAACAAAAAGAGAATAAAAAATGAAGAATGACTTGAATCATGTAGAAATAACAAGTGCTAACATCTGGTGAAGCACTTTGGTGGCTAATCAAACACATAAGAGACCACATTCTTTATTAAAACTACTCTTTAACTTTCCATAGCTACATCTACTAACCTTTCTGCAGTGTTACACCATCAGACAAGGCTCCAATCTTATAGATTTGCAACTTAAACCACACATCCAGCTTTCATTCCCTAACTTGTGCTTAAAACAACACAACATTTAGATGTTAGGACCTGGTAAAACCTGGAGAACTTCACGAGTTGCATGTGTTCTTACTGGCATATAAAAAGAGGCGCCTCCAAGTGTATCCAGGAAGACAAATTAATGTCTACAGTGACAACAACTGCAGCACATAAGGAAATTAATGTTCCAAATTGGGAGAAAAATGGGTAAAACAAACAACCCTCCATCACCGCTTAATAGACAAAAATGGAAATATACTAATTTGAAGATAACAGATAATAGATAACAGTTTCACAGTGGCAGCTTTGCACACAGTCGCCAAGCTTTTAACTGGAGAGAGGAGGGGAAAAAAAAGAAAAAGTTGCATGGCAACTGACATGCACACAGACGGCAGCCATCACCATAGCAACCCTAATGGTACATTATATTCAAATTCATTCACAAGGACATTTTGGGGCTCAAACAGAAAAAAAAAAAAGGAAAACGCAAGGAGATTTGGAAATTCTCACTCACTGTAGGTAGAATGAGAAATCCAGTAACAATCTGCTTATCTGTGGGACTTTGTACTTGCTTTGTGTTTGCGGTCCTGCTCACAGGCCCCCCGGTCCCCTCATAGTGTGGCTGGAGACTAGAGGCCAAAGACAAGGTCACCCGCGACGGCACAATGAAATAAGCCTGTCACTCCATTGCTCTGTGGCCACCAGCCGCAGGGGTAACAATGCTTTTAATTTTGGACTTCCCTCTATTCTGCGGTTATGTATAGGGGCCATGATAGCGGGCTGGCTGCTTGCCCACAGCGGCTGCAGCCTGAGAGCTTTTCCATAACAAGAGAAGAGGAGGAGGGAAGGGAAGTGTGGGAGTCGATGATGACGGTGTGAACCACACTGTTGTGCTCTCACAGTCAACT